TACGTTACAGCCTTATTGTAGAATTGATTAAATTGTTTTTTTCCCTCTTCAATCTACACACAATACCCCATAATGACAAAGCGAAAACAGGTTTTTATGGTGTTAAAAACATGGAGCCTATTACACTGACATTCATAATAAATAACTATTAAAGAACCATAAAACATCCTCAAATTAAGAAATTGTGATGCAATTTTTTATGTTATGTTATTTTAGTAAATTAATAATACATGAGAGGGTGTGATATTGAATATGGTGTGATTACTGTATAGGCTTATCATATATTGGGCCAGTTTCCCGGAACCAGATTAAACCTAGTCCTGGACTAAAATTCACCTTTAATGGAGATAGCTTCTTAGTCCAGGACTAGGCTTAATCACTGTCTGGAAACCAGCACATAGTGTATAGGCTTGCTTATCACATTTACTGTAAACTACAGACATCCTGCATCACTGATACACCTGCTGCTTAGATCATTGATGTAAACATTGTGAAGAGTTTCACTGGTGATCTATTAACTACTGTAGGCCTATATCATGCGAAAGTAGCCAATTAACACGAACACAAACAACACACAAAAAACACAAACACATTTGGAAAGTGTTCAGACCCCTTGACCTTTTCCAAATTTTTTACATTACAGCCTTATTCTAAAATGGATTAAATAAAAACATGTCCTCATCAATCTACACACAATACCCCATAATGACAAAACGAAAACAGGTTTTTAGATTTTTTTGCAAATGTATAAAAAATTTAAACAGAAATACCTTATTTACAGAACTATTCAGACCCTTTGCTATGAGACTCGAAATTGAGCTCAGGTGCATGATGTTTCCATTGATCAACCAAAGATGTTCCTACAACTTGATTGGAGTCCACCTGTGAGTGGCCCAGCCAGAGCCCGGACTTGAACCCGATTAAATATCTCTGGAGAGACCTGAAAATAGCTGTGCAGTGACGCTCCCCATCCAACCTGACAGAACTTGAGAGGATCTGCAGAGAAGAATGGAAGAAACTCCCCAAATACAGGTGTGTCAAGCTTGTAGCGTCATACCCAAGAAGAGTAGAGGCTGTAATCGCTGCCAAAGGTGCTTTAACAAAGTATTGAGTAAAGGGTCTGAATACTTATGTAAATGTAATATTATTATTATTATTTATATTTTTCAAAAAAACTGTTTTTGCTTTGTCATTATGAGGTATTGTGTGCAGAATGGCCTTACTGAAGAGCTCAGTGACTTTCAACGTGGCACCGTTATAGGATGCCACCTTTCCAACAAGTCAGTTCGTAAAATTTCTGCCCTGCTAGAGCTGCCCCGGTCAACTGTAAGTACTGTTATTATTAAGTGGAGACCTCTAGGAGCAACAAATGCTCAGCCGTGAAGTGTTAGGCCACACAAGCTCAAAGGACAGGACTGCCGAGTGCTGAAGTGCGTAGCGCCTAAAAATAATCTGTCCTCGGTTGCAACACTCACTACCGAGTTCCAAACTGCCTCTGGAAGTAAGGTCAGCACAATAACTGTTCGTCAGGAGCTTCATGAAATGGGTTTCTGTGGCCGAGCAGCTGCACACAAGCGTAAGATCACCATGCGTAATGCCAAGCGTCGGCTGGAGTGGTGTAAAGCTTGCCACCATTGGACTCTGGAACAGTGGAAACGCTTCTCTGGAGTGATGAATCAAGCTGGCAGTCCGACGGACGAATCTGGGTTTGACGGATGCCAGGAGAACGCTACCTGCCCAAATGCATAGTGCCAACTGTAAAGTTTGATGGAGGAGGAATAATGGTATGGGGCTGTTTTTCATGGTTTGGGCTAGGCCCCTTAGTTTTAGTGAAGGGAAATCTTAACGCTACAGCATACAATGACATTATAGATGATTCTGTGCTTCCAACTCCATGCTTCCAACTTCTGCGCCCGAGTGGCAGTGGTCTAATGCACTGCATCGCAGTGCTAGCTGTGCCACTAGAGATCCTGGTTCGAATCCAGGCTCTGTCGTAGCCGGCCGCGACCGGGAGACCCATGGGGCGGCGCACAATTGGCCCAGCGTCGTCCAGGGTAGGGGAGGGAATGGCCGGCAGGAATGTAGCTCAGTCGGTGGAGCATGGCGTTTGCAACGCCAGGGTTGTGGGTTCGATTCCCACGGGGTGTATAAAATTAAAATAAATAAAATAAAAATAATAATTTACAAAAATACATTCTGTGTGCGTGCACTCACTAACTGTAAGTCGCTCTGGATAAGAGCGTCTGCTAAATGACTAAAAAAAGTTTGTGGCAACAGTTTGGGGAAGGCCCTTTCCTGTTTCAGCATGACAACACCCCCGTGCACAAAGCGAGGTCCATACAGAAATGGTTTGTCAAGATCGGTGTGGAAAAACTTGATTGGCCTGCACAGAGCCCTGACCTCAACCCTATCGAACACCTTTGGAATGAATTGGAACACCGACTGCGAGCCAGGCCTAATCGCCCAACATCAGTGCCCTACCTCACTAATGCTCTTGTGGCTGAATGGAAGCAAGTCCCCGCAGCAATGTTCCAACATCTAGTGGAAAGCCTTCCCAGAAGAGTGGAGGCTGATATAGCAGCAAAGGGGGGACCAACTCCATATTAATGTCCATGATTTTGGAATGAGATGTTCGACGAGCAGTTGTCCATATACTTTTGGTCATGTAGTGTATGATAACACACCACTTTTGGGTGGCATTTACCTGTATTTGGCGGAGTTAATAGATCATTATAAATAAGGGAATTATTGTTTCTTTTGAAAATAACTGACTCATCAGTAATCCATTCCATTCAAAATGTTCTTTAAAACAATCTCACAATTACAATGGAGCAGCTGAGCACACAACATAACAGTATTCTGATTTAGCATTAGGCCTTCCCATTGGAGGCAGGCACAGGGCGCAGACCGAGAGGCACCAGGGGAGGGCAGCAAAGCACTGTTGAACAATGACAACACTGACTGAGCCATGTTCTTGTTCCAGGGTGGCCCAAACAGAATGACAGGTGAGTCACATGCTTTTTTTGTGTCACAGAACATCATATGAAACATCATTCGTGATCAGGTTTTATTTGGCTTAGACATAGTGGACCAAGAACAAGTTACACAAGACATGTAACATGTGGTTTGCAGATGTCAGATGAAATCCCCAACTATAACAACAGTAAACATTGTACATCTGCAATGGATATGGTAATGAAGCTACTGAGAATGGTTTGTTAGTTAATAGTATTTTGGTAAAAGTGTTGACATTTTGTGCCAGTGGTGTAGTTTATTGTGTTGACATTTTTTGTGTTGGTGGTTAAGTGGTTAAAAGCAAGCTCCTGTGATTCTGGGTTGTGCAATGCAAGCGGTGTGCTTAGGGCACTTGCATGGATTGTGAAACCCCTTAGTCGCAGAAAACATTCTGATTGTGAAGACATCAGAGGCACGACTGTGGGGCTTTGTTCTTTGCTCTTACACATAAACACTACACGTGCACTACAGTTTAAGGTCAATGATATGGATAGATTTCCAACCTGAGAGGACTCAACCTCGCAAGAACCAGAATTCAATACAGGCACAAAGCCCCAAGAAACCTGATCAGCTTTTTTTCCCCCTCAAAATACTGATCGGAGGAGACAAAATGTACTGGGCACAGCATAATGAGTAAAACTATTATGATCTTGCCTCGCTGGCCAATTAGAAAATATCATCCCTCATTAAATATAAAAATAGATACAATTTGGAATAGAACATTTCTCATAGGGGATTTTGACTAATTTCAGATGTTTTGTTCTGAGTAAATCTGGCAATGGTTCTGTTCTGGCAAACATGACTCTGGGAAAGGAAAGACACTGCTCCTGCTTGTTTAATTACCCCCTCAGTCTACACGCTCTCTCAGGGCATTTCCTCTCTACCCCAATCTGGGGGTCCACAAATGACTTCACACTCTCAAATGGGCGGTGCACAATTGGCCCAGTGTCGTCCAGGGTAGGGGAGGGAATGGCCGGCAGGGATGTAGCTCAGTTGATAGGGTTGTGGGTTCGATTCCCAACCTAATAAACTATAAACATCAGCTTTCATTACTGTAACTCTCAAAAATAAAGATAGATATATTTTAAAGTGTATGTTTCATAACTATAAAACTCATGCACTAATGCATTCTGCAGTCCTGCTACTGAGGGCAGAGAAAAATCCATGTAGCGTAGAATGAGGATGCTGCCAAGCAGTGGAATGTTGCTGATGCTATTAAACTCAGCTCAGAAGCACCCAATCCAGCCTAATTGTAGCCTGAATTTGCCATGGAACCACCAGGCCTACTGCAGGCATCCTGGCAGGTGGCCATTTTCTTTTTCGAAGGCCCAAAGCCAACCACAGTTGCAACAGTTACAATTACAGCCAGTTAGAGTTCCATTTTAGATGCTCTATTATAGAAAAGAGTTACATGGATTTGCTAAATTAGGACAACAATTAACTTTTAAATGTATTTCAGGAGACACTGGAATGCGTTGGTGGACAGCATAGCTATATTGGTTGTGTCAGTTCACATGCAATACCAAGTGAAGGTAGCTACCAGAAATGATGAAATTACAAATGTTTATAATTTGATTGTGGAAGAATATAATTATTTCCGTCTATTGACAGATATATTTAGCAGATCATAGGCTAATTGTGAAAACAAATCTGTTTTGTTCACTACTGCAGCAGTTTCATCATTTCTCTGGGGTTATCTCTGGGTTAGCAACTTATTTCACTAACTGTCGACAGAAACTTGGGTCTTAGGGACTTATCCACATCACAACATCAGCACAGAGTCATGGACACAGCTTGACAGAGAATATCATCAAGATATATCCCTTTTATATCATACATATCATACAGTATGATCATATTATATAAAAATGTCAATGAAATATTACATTTTATATGATTTGTTATGCATTTAGTCTCTCCCTTTGCTCTAACTAAACCCCGCCCTAATTCCATACTGCTGTTTGAGGCTTCCATGGCTTTGGCGGAGTGAGTATGACTCATAATAACCAGTTAAAAGGCTTTCCCATTAACCAGGACTTGCTACTCTATGCAAACTAGCCCCACTTCAATCCTGTGTGGTTACTATTAGAAATGCATCTTCTGTTTTGTTGGACCTGTGTTCTGGTCTTGGTTCTGCCTGGTCCATGTTCTACAGCTCCTACATCTATTCCTGAAGAAGAGGTTACTGCACTCCTCATAGGACAGACCCAGAATGACCTGAAGCTGGCCACAGTAAGTGTATACTTGAATGAGTGAAATTACAAAATTACAGACATTTGACAGGGACTGCATGTTACATTGTTTACAGTACATAAAAATGCTAATTTTAAATAACATGTTAACGTTTTTCTGAACTACTGACTGTGGATGCGGAAAAACGTAGAGTAATCAAAAAAAGGTGCTTGCTAGCAAGTTGTGTACTTGATAGTGTATGTGATGTAAACAGAGAGGTCTACTATATCATCCACATTGATCACATTTCTACTAATACTGTATCCGTACCCATTGGATGCAGTGATCACAATATAGTGGCTATATCCCGGAAAGTAAAGGTTCCAAAAGCTAGTGTATAAGATTTTCTAATTATTGATAAACATGCAGCTGTAAAGAAACTGATTGTTAGAACTGTTAAGGCTCCATGGATTGATGAGGAATTTAAAAACTGTATGGTTGAAAGAGATGGGGCAAAAGGAGTGGCTAATAAGTCTGGCTGCACATCTAACTGCCTGACTTACTGCAAATTGAGAAAAAAAAACTCCTTCTTTCATCCTATCAGATGGCTTACTTATCACAAAACCATTTGACGTTGCCAATAATTTGTATGATTACTTAATTGGCAAAGTGGGCAAACTTAGGCAGGAAATGCCAACATTGAAAAGTGAGCCATCGTTTTCATAAATAAATACATAAAAATAATGCATTGTATGTTTGAATTTTGGAAAGTTAGTGTAGGAGAGGTGGAAAAGGTATTGTTATTGATCAATAATGACAAACCTCCTGGCATTGACAACTTAGATGGAAAGATACTGAGGATGGTAGCTGACTCTATAGCCAGTTTTAGCCACTCCTATCTGTCATATCTTTAATCTGAGCCTAGAGAAAAGTGTTTGTCCTCAGGCCTGGAGGAAAGCCAAAGTCATTCCGCTACCCAAGAATGGTAAAGCGGCCTTTACTGGTTCTAACAGCTGACATATCAGCTTGCTGCCTGCTCTTAGCAAACTGTTGGAAAAAATGATGTTTGACCAAATACAATACTATTTCTCTCTAAACAAATTAAGAACAGACTTTCAGCATGCTTATAGAGAAGGGCACTCAACATGTATTGCGCTGACACAAATGACTGATTATTGGTGGAAAGTAATGGATAATAAGAAGATTGTGGTACCTGTACTGTTAGTTTTCTGTGCAGCCTTTGATATTATTGACCATTACCTGTTGTTGAAAAAACATATGTGTTATGGCTTTTCAACCTCTGCCATATCGTGAATTCAGAGCTATTTATCTAATAGAACACAGAGTGTGTTCTTTAACGGAAGCTTCCCTAATTTTAAACATGTAAAGTGTGGTGTTCAGCAGCTCTCTTGGCCCTCAACTCTTTTCTATTTTTACCAATGACCTGCCATTGGCATTAATCAAAGCCTGTGTCCATGTATGCTGATCATTCAACCCAATACTTGTCATCAATGACAGCTAGTGAAATCACTGCAACCCTAAACAAAGAGTTGCAGTCAGTTTTAGAATGGGTGGCCAGTAATAAACTGGTCCTGAACATCTCTAAAACTAAGAGCATTGTATTTGGTACAAATCATTCCCTAAGTTCTAGACTTCAGCTGAATTTGGCAATGAATGGTGTGGCTGTTGAGCAAGTTGAGGAGACTAAATTACTTGGTGTTACCTTAGATTCTAAACTGTCATGGTCAAAACATATTGATTCAATGGTTGTAAAGATGGGTAGAGGTGTGATCGTACTCCTGAGTGGCGCATTGGTCTAAGGCACTGCATCGTAGTGCTAACTGTGCCACTAGAGATCCTGGTTCGAATCCAGGCTCTGTCGCCGCCGGCTGCGACCGGGAGACTCATGGGCGGTGCACAATTGGCCCAGTGTCGTCCAGGGTAGGGGAGGGAATGGCCGGCAGGGATGTAGCTCAGTTGATAGGGTTGTGGGTTCGATTCCCAAGGGGGGCCAGTATAAAAAAATAAATAAATAAAATGTATTCACTAACTGTAAGTCGCTCTGGATAAGAGCGTCTGCTAAATGACTAAAATGTAAAATAAACACCACACTCCACAAAGCAAGTCATGCAGGCTCTAGTTTGATCTTATCTTGATTATTGTCCAGTCATATGGTCAAGTGCTGCAAAGAAATACCTAGTTAAGCTGCAGCTGGCCCAGAACAGCGTGGCACGTTTTGCTCTTTGTAGTCAGAGGGCTAATATCAAAACTATGCATGCCAGTCTCTCTTGGCTAAGTGCTTCTTGTTTTTATAAGAAACAATGTGTTGGAAATTCCAAAATGCTTGCATATTGAACTTACACAGCACTGACACACACACTTACCCCATCAGACATGCTACCAGGGATCTGTTCACAGTACCCAGATCCAAAACAAATTCAAGGAAACGTATAGTATTATACAGAACCATGATTGCATTGAACTCCCTTCCATCTCATATAGCGAGAGTGAACAGAAAACCTGGTTTAAAAAAACAAATAAACCAACACCTCAGGCACAACGCCTCTCCCCCATGTGACCTACTTTTTGTGTGTATGTACTGACATGTGTAACTGATAGATACACACACACACACATACAGACACACACTACATGTAAATGTTTTTAAATGTATGTCAATTGTAAAGTATTTTGTCTGTACTGTAATGTATTTTTCATTGTGTCGGACCCCAGTAAGACTAGTTGGCTAATGGGGATCCTAATAAAATCCCCCCCAAAATACTTGTAACTGCACTGTGTGAGATAATCTCTTTTTATCCTTTTTTATTGTCGTGGGTGGGAGGCGGAGCTAAACACAATTACCTCAGAATGTACATGCCCTCACAATCAAGCACAGTATATATTCCAAGTTTGGCAAGGCAAGGCTACAAAAAAATCTGTTTTTAATTTAGAACGTAAACGTGATATGCACTGTGGTACCATTAAACTGCAGGATAATTGTGATTATTTCAAGGTTGCGTCTGAACAAACCCTATATTTATTTTATGGATTTGAGCAAACTATGCATTATTGCTGAACCACTGATGTAAAATTATGCTTGAACATGAATTGTTCTGCTATGCCAAGCCTCACGCAACAGTTGTGCTAGAATATCAGAACTAGAAAGAAGTTAGAATGGGGAAAATAATATGAACCCTTTGCCTCCAATTCCCTATAAAGTCTGTCCTTGGTACAGTGTTTCCACATCTCTAGTATTTCCAACAAGAAATTGTAACAAAGTAATTGAGTCATTGCTCAGTCAGCATAATATTGATTTATGATGTTACGTTATATGATAGTGAGACACTACAGAAGCTTTCATCTGTTCTCAGGAGTACCTCCGGCATTATTACAACCTGAAGAAAGAGCAACCTTTGGGTCGGATCAAGCGGTACCTGCCCTCGTTCACCTCCAAGGTGAAGGACATGCAGAGCTTCTTTGGCCTCAACACCACAGGCAGTCTGGACTCTAAGACCCTGGAGGTGATGAGGACCCCTCGCTGTGGGGTCTCTGATGTGGAGGACTACAGTCACAACAACCGAGTAAACCGCTGGAACAAGAACGTCATCACCTACAGGTAACAGTTATTCCTCTGAAATTCGATCCATGGCAACTGGAAGGCATGATATCATCAGAGGATTTGTGTATTAGCTCACAGGAGGCTGTGGCAGGTAGCCTAGTGGTTTAGAGCATTGGGCCAGCAACCTTTCAAAAGGTTGCTGGCTCAAATCCCGAGTTGACTAGATTAAAGATCTGCCAATGTGCCCTTGAGCACGGCACGTAACTATAATTGCTTCTGTAAGTCGCTCTGAATAAGAGTGTCTGCTAAATTACTAAATTGTAATTGTTTGATGTTGCAGCATTGGCAGGTATACCAGTGATTTGCCTCACAGCACGGTGGACTCTCTGATCGAGTCGGCGCTTAGCGTCTGGGCCAGGGCCAGCACTCTGACTTTTGTCAGGTCACGCACACAGAGGGCCGACATCATGGTGGAGTTTGCTACCTTTGGTGGGTAACACCTATAGTGGTCTTTCTGGGTAACACTTTATATTAAGGTATACTTTATAAAGGGTTTATATACTTTATTGACTATTTATAGATGGTTGGTTTACAGATAGTTTTGAATAAATTATAAACAGTTCACTTACTGTTTGATGCTCCTAATACTCAACTCCTAAACAAGGGAGTAGTAAAAACATCTGCTTTGACTCTGACATTTTGTTGTGTGTTTTCTCTAACCTCTGGGACATAAAGACCACGGTGATGCCTACCCGTTTGATGGGTCTAAGGGCACCTTGGCACATGCTTTTGGCCCTGGAGAGGGAATTGGAGGTGATGCCCACTTTGACGATGATGAAACTTGGACGGCAGGGTCAAAGGGTATCCATTTTTATTTAACAGAATCATTTGAATTTTTTTATATTTACTGATCAGTGGTTATTTTTTCGTTTTTAAACAAGAGAGAATGACCAAATAAACTGTTTGTGCATGTTCATGTTTGTGTGATTTCAGGGTTCAACCTGTATCTAGTGGCAGCCCATGAGTTTGGTCATTCTTTAGGCTTAAGGCACTCCCAAAACCCAGAGTCACTGATGTATCCTACATACAAATCCAGTCGCAGTGCACACAACCTGCTCTCCAAAGAGGACATAGCAATAATCAACTCACTTTACGGTAAGGAGACCATTCAACAAATTACAATTCTGAATGTAAGATAAGATCATACAGTAACGGCCCATGGGCCCTTGTTAAAAGTAGTGTGCTATAGTGCATAGTGTATACATAGGGAATAGCAATTTCAGACACAGACTACATTTTTCTTTTGGTGTGCCTTAGGTCCAAAAAACAGTCAGCCATATTACTACTCCAGACATGGCTGGAATCCACTTTACAACCCCTGGTTACTGGGTTCCCACTTCCCTCTGATGATGCAGAACAAATGTTCCCCTGACCTGTCCTTTGATGCTGTCTCAACCCTGGGGGATGCCACCTTCTTTTTCAAAGACAAGTATGTCCATCCACCCTGTTGAAATGTCAGTAGTATTGATGAATGAAAAGCAAACAAATCTGTGGATTCAAATGTTGTTTTTTCCCCCTTCTGAAGGTATCTTTGGATCAAGCACAACCAGCAATATGATATAAAAGCAGGTCCTATCAACAATTTCATGCCAAAGATTGAATCCAAAATTGATGCTGCATTCTGGGTCCCTCGGCGATCCACTGCTTACCTGATTCATGGTACAGACATCTCCTACCATATTACCCCATCATGGTTAACAGCGTGTAATGAATGTATAGGACTCATTTTCTGAAAATAAAGTGAAGACAGTTTGGAAAAGGAACCCTAGTGGCCGCCTCAGCTGACGCATCAGCTGAGATTGCACCAATTAGATGCTAGTATCAATCACGCCTACCTTATTTGGCGGTCTATTAAGCTGACCGTTTCTGCTCATACATCCTGCTGCCGCTTGCTGCTACTGCTAGTATGCGTTCGCTTCTTTTGCTCCCTCAACCACCCCAGCCTCCACCTGTTAGGTTCTGTTTTCCTGCTGGGGGATTGGTATAGTTTACCGCGCTTCAATGCTTGTAAGTAATTTTAGATATTGACGCTTTGCTTGGGCAGTGAGCTACCCTGAAGGAGCAGAGCCTATATCGCTAAGACTTGCATTATTAATTATTTAATAAATAGTTAAACATATTTCTACATGGTGTTTCCATTCTAACTATGAGCCATCCTCTGTTTGTTCCAGAAACCATGTACTGGACAGTGAAGGGTTCCATTGTGAAAGGCAAACCTAAACCCATCAGCAACTTTGGCTTCCCACCATGGGTTCAGGAAGTAGACGCAGCGGTACACATCGTCAAAACAGGACGCACTCTGTTCTTCATTCACAACATTTACTACAGGTGAGCCTGGCATTCTGAAACATCACCAGTGTATTGTCATTAGCCTACAGTACAAAATATCATTATAGCATATTGAATATATTGCAGAGAAACTGTATTGTGGACGTTGTTTTTTTCAGTTATAATGAAAACCGAAGAGTTATGGATGCTGGATACCCACAGTACATCAGTGATGACTTCCCAGGGCTCAATACTACTATTGATGCAGCTGTCTACAAAGATGGTAAGCTACTGTTACATCACGACAACAAAGATCATGCCAGCTCAATTTGAACATTTCATTTTGTAAAAGTCCTTCTAATTGTTAAATTTTCATTTATCCTAGGCTTCATCTACTTCTTCGTTGGACCACAAGTGTATACATACGATTATACCCAGAAGCAAGTTGTTGGAACTGAGAAAGCAAATACCTGGCTCGGATGCTGAAGGATTTTAATTAGAAGTCACCAAAAACCTTTAATAGGAAATTAAATGTTTGTTTCCAAAATGCAATAAAGGCTATACAAAGCTGTACAAAACTGTATGCATAATTATAACATGTTGAATTTAGTCCAATGTATTAGGTTGCCTGTAAAGATAACATTCAGGAAATATTTGCAGGTTCATTAATCAAAACCGTGAGAAAGGAATGTGTTACATAATACCAACATGCCCCCAGCACATTAGACAGAAATTAGTGGGTGAGTTTATGTATAGCTCATTTCATAAACATTGCCTAGATCACATACAGTGAGGGAAAAAAGAATTTGATCCCCTGCTGATTTTGTACGTTTGCCCACTGACAAAGAAATGATCAGTCTATAATTTTAATGGTAGGTTTATTTGAACAGTGAGAGACAGAATAACAACAAAAAAATCCAGAAAAACGCATGTCAAAAATGTTATAAATTGATTTGCATTTTAATGAGGGAAATAAGTATTTGACCCCCCTCTCAATTTCTGGCCCCGAGGTGTCTTTTATACAGGTAACGAGCTGAGATTAGGAGCACACTCTTAAAGGGAGTGCTCCTAATCTCAGTTTGTTACCTGTATAAAAGACACCTGTCCACAGAAGCAATCAATCAATCAGATTCCAAACTCTCCACCATGGCCAAGACCAAAGAGCTCTCCAAGGATGTCAGGGACAAGATTGTAGACCTACACAAGGCTGGAATGGGCTACAAGACCATCGCCAAGCAGCTTGGTGAGAAGGTGACAACAGTTGGTGTGATTATTCGCAAATGGAAGAAACACAAAAGGACTCAATCTCCCTCGGCCTGGGGCTCCATGCAAGATCTCACCTTGTGGAGTTGCAATGATCATGAGAACGGTGAGGAATTTGCCCAGAACTACACGGGAGGATCTTGTCAATGATCTCAAGGCAGCTGGGACCATAGTCACCAAGAAAACAATTGGTAACACACTACGCCGTGAAGGACTGAAATCCTGCAGCGACCGCAAGGTCCCCCTGCTCAAGAAAGCACATATACAGGGCCATCTGAAGTTTGCCAATGAACATCTGAATGATTCAGAGGAGAACTGGGTGAAAGTGTTGTGGTCAGATGAGACCAAAATGGAGCTCTTTGGCATCAACTCAACTCGCCGTGTTTGGAGGAGGAGGAATGCTGCCTATGACCCCAAGAACACCATCCCCACCGTCAAACATGGAGGTGGAAACATTTTGCTTTAGGGGTGTTTTTCTGCTAAGGGGACAGGACAACTTCACCGCATCAAAGGGATGATGGACGGGGCCATGTACCATCAAATATTGGGTGAGAACCTCCTTCCCTCAGCCAGGGCATTGGAAATCGTGGATGGGTATTCCAGCATGACAATGACCCAAAACACACGGCCAAGGCAACAAAGGAGTGGCTCAAGAAGAAGCACATTAAGGTCCTGGAGTGGCCTAGCCAGTCTCCAGACCTTAATCCCATAGAAAATTAAAATGCAAATCAATTTATAACATTTTTGACATGCGTTTTGTTTCTGGATTTTTGTTGTTGTTATTCTGTCTCTCAGTGTTCAAATAAAACTACCATTAAAATTATAGACTGATCATGTCTTTGTCAGTGGGCAAACGTACAAAATCAGCAGGGGATCAAATACTTTTTTCCCTCACTGTATTTCAGTTCACACATCAGCAAGTGCGGTTGAGATTATAATGAAGATGAAACCAGACCGAAAGTATCTGTGTTATTTGGAGCTGTGTGCCAATTGACACATTACGACTAAGGGAAGACAACACTGCCTATTTGACATGTGCAATTCAACAGGTCATCCAAATAACTCTAGCATAATAGAGTTAGTCCAAATAACTCCAGTCTAATCCAATTGTTTGTTTAAAAATCATGGCCAAAATAAGGCCATATGTCATTTGGACATTTTGGAAATATGAAATAGACGAGTGAAAACGTGTAGCCTACGTGCAGGAAACAATATACTTGGTAACCAAAGTAACAAGCCCAGTATTGACAGATAGAGCCATAGGACACCCTTTTTATCCTGTTTCACACTCTTAAGACCTGTATTGAGGTAAACAATATATAGTTCAGGGCCTTGCATAGAGCAATTATTCTTACCACACACCTCATGGTAATAGCTGCAGGTAAAACTATTGCAACTGCAAGATTGAGGGCTTTGAAACCAGTTGATTCACCACAGACCTTAAGCATGCTCCTATCTATAAAGCAACGGGCTGAAATGTATAGAGCTTTTTCATTTAAAGATGGAGTGGTTGTGGATCCAAGTGCTGTGCTTTCTAGTGCTCACAGACCTGTTGTGGACTTTACCCATCTCTAAGGAACAATGGCCAAGGCCTGAGGACATGGAACTGGCTGAGGTTTGTGTTTTCATCCAATCTTTAGAAAATCTTCGGGAAAATCCTATATTCATTTTAAAAAACTGTATTGGAGTACATTGATTGTGTTTTGACTAATTGCCCATGTATTGCAGTTCTAGTTATTGTCTGTTTTTCAATGGAGTGTCACGATCGTCATTTGAAGAAACGGGCCAATGCGCAGCGTGGAATGCGAACATCTTTTATTTCTATTTCACCACACGAACAAAAACAACAAAACGATACGTGAAGTCCTTGGGTACATACACAAACCAACACGGAACAAGATACCACACCACACAAATGCCAAACGACTACCTAAGTATGGTTCCCAATCAGAGACAACAAGCAACAGCTGATTCACGTTGCCTCTGATTGAGAACCACCCCGGCCAACATAGAAACACATCAACTAGATCCTGAACATGGAAACACAAAACATAGACTCTACACACCCTGGCTCAGCCTAACAGAGTCCCCAGAGCCAGGGCGTGACATGGAGTATATTTAAGAGGTGGACTTTAGGACAACTAAAAGTTATGACTACTTTAGGTCAAGCAAAAGCTCTCGTTTTTTGGACAACTTAAAGTGACTAGTGTGGAAGCTGGCTAGTGATGGCTTCACCAACACACCTTAAGCACACACACACACTTTTGGTAATATAACATGAATCTTGACTGGGAGTGAATCTTGGTGGAATAGTACTTGTTTTACTCCGAATGAATTCTGGTTCTAAAAGGCAAAAACATACAGTATCTGTAAAGTGTCATAAATCTGTAAAATGAATAAGCATAATATTACACTATTATAACACAGCTATAAACAGGGCTATAAGCTTAGCAGCATACACATGAACCTAAAGATGAACCTCTTGTCGGAGAGAGAGAAACCAATTACTGAGACTGACAAGATAAAGATTTATGGCAATCTCTCTCTGGCCTGGGGCGAGAGCCTGCCCTGCTGAGGTCTTATCTGATTTGCCTCAGTGCCAAAGGGTTGTAAATTACTCTGCGCATGAGCAAGCTCCAAGACCCTTCTGGGAGGGTTCTAGAAGCTCGCCCATGGCAGCGCAATAACCACTTTAATGAAGGCCACTATGAAAAGCGCTTCCCTTCTTTTTTTTCTCTCCAAAACTCTTGAGCGTGCCGTCTCTAGCCAACTCTCCTGCTATCTCTCTCAGAATGACCTTCTTGATCCAAACCAGTCAGGTTTCAAGACTGGTCATTCAACTGAGACTGCTCTTCTCTGTGTCACGGAGGCTCTCCGCACTGCTAAAGCTAACTCTCTCTCCTCTGCTCTTATCCTTCTAGACCTATCCGCTGCCTTTGATACTGTGAACCATCAGATCCTCCTCTCCACCCTCTCCGAGTTGGGCATCTCCGGCGCTGCTCACTCTTGGATTGCGTCCTACCTGACAGGTCGCTCCTACCAGGTGGCATGGCGAGAATCTGTCTCCGCACCACGTGCTCTCACCACTGGTGTCCCCCAGGACGCAGTTCTAGGCCCTCTCCTATTCTCTCTATACACCAAGTCACTTGGCTCTGTCATATCCTCACATGGTCACTCCTATCATTGCTACGCAGACGACACACAATTCATTTTCTCCTTTCCCCCTTCTGATAACCAGGTGGCGAATCGCATCTCTGCATGTCTGGCAGACATATCAGTGTGGATGTCAGATCACCACCTCAAGCTGAACCTCGGCAAGACGAAGCTGCTCTTCCTCCCGGGGAAGGACTGCCCGCTCCATGATCTCGCCATCATGGTTGACAACTCCATTGTGTCCTCCTCCCAGAGTGCAAAGAACCTTGGCGTGACCCTGGACAACACCCTGTCATTCTCCGCTAACATCAAAGAGGTGACCCGATCCTGCAGGTTCATGCTCTACAACATTCACAGAGTACGACCCTACCTCACACAGAAAGCGGCACAGGTCCTAATCCAGGCACTTGTCATCTCCCGTCTGGATTACTGCAACTCGCTGTTGGCTGGGCTCCCTGCCTGTGCCATTAAACCCCTACAACTTATCCAGAACGCCGCAGCCCGTCTGGTGTTCGACCTTCCCAAGTTCTCTCATGTCACCCCGCTCCTCCGCACACTCCACTGGCTTCCAGTTGAGGCTTGCATCTACTACAAGACCATGGTGCTTGCCTACGGAGCTGTGAGGGGAACGGCACCTCCTTACCTTCAGGCTCTGATCAGACCCTACACCCAAATGAGGGCACTACGTTCATCCACCTCTGGCCTGCTAGCTCCCCTACCTCTACGAAAGCACAGTTCCCGCTCAGCCCAGTCAAAGCTATTTGCTGCTCTGGCACCCCAATGGTGGAACAAGCTCCCCCACGACGCCAGGACAGCGGAGTCACTGACCACCTTCCGGAGACACTTGAAACCCTACCTCTTTAAGGAATACCTGGAATAGTATAAAGTAATCCTTCTACCTCCCCCCCTCTCCCCCATAAAAAAATAAAAATAAAAGTGGTTGTCCCACTGGCTATCATAAGTTGAATGCACCAATTTGTGAGTCGCTCTGGATAAGAGTGTCTGTTAAATGATGTAAATGTAATGTAAATGCAGTATCATGCGCATATGAAAACTATGTGTACCAATAAAACAAAGACACCTACACTGCCGGTCAAAAGTTTTAGAACACCTACTCATTCAAGGGTTTTTCTTTAATTTTTGCTATTTTCTACATTGTAGAATAATAGTAAAGACATCAAAACTATTAAATAACATATGGAATCATGTAGTAACCAAAAAAGTGTGAAACAAATCAAAACATATTTTATATTTGAGATTCTACAAATAGCCACCCTTTGCTTTGATGACAGCTTTGCACGCTCTTGGCATTCTCTCAACCAGCTTCACCTGGAATGCTTTTCCAACAGTCTTGATGGAGTTCCTACATATGCTGTGCACTTTTCCTTCACTCTGCGGTCTGACTCATCCCAAACCATGTCAATTTGGTTGAGGTCGGGGGATTGTGGAGGCCAGGTCATCTGATGCAGCACTCCATCACTCTCCTTCTTGGTAAAACAGCCCTTACACTGCCTGGAGGTGTGTTGGGTCATTGTCCTGTTGAAAAACAAATTATAGTCCCACTAAGCCCAAACCAGATGGGATGGTGTATCGCTGCAGAATGCTGTGGTAGCCATGCTGGTTAAGTGTGCCTTGAATTCTAAATAAATCACAGACAGTGTCACCAGCAAAGCACCCCCACACCATAACACCTCCTCCTCCATGCTTTACGGTGGGAAATATACATGTGGAGATCATCCGTTCACCCACACCGCATCTCACAGCCCTGCAAACAGCGGTTTGAACCAAAAATCTCCAATTTGGACAAATTTCCACCGGTCTAATGTCCATTGCTCGTGTTTCTTGGCCCAGGCAAGTCTCTTCTTCTTATTGGTGTTTTTTAGTTGTGGTTTCTTTGCAGCAATTCGACCATGAAATCCTGATTCACACAATCTCCTCTGAACAGTTGATGTTGAGATGTGTCAGTTACTTGAACTCTGTGAAGCATTTATTTGGGCTGCAATTTCTGAGGCTGGTAACTCTAATTAACTTATCCTCTGCTGCAGAGGTAACTCTGGGTCTTCCATTCCTGTGGCAGTCCTCATGAGAGCCAGTTTCATCATAGCGCTTGATGGTTTTTGCGACTGCACTTGAAGAAACTTTCAAAGTTCTTGAAATTCTCCGTATTGACTGACCTTCATGTCTTAAAGTAATGTACTGTCGTTTCTCTTTGCTTCTTTGAGCTGTTCTTACCATAATATGGACTTGATCTTTTACCAAATAGGGCTATCTTTTGTATACTCCCCCCCCCCCCCACCCACCCCCACCTTCTCACAACACAACTGATTGGCTCAAACACATTAAGAAGGAAAGAAATTCCACAAATTAACATTTAAGAAGGCATACCTGTTAATTGAAATGCATTCCAGGTGACTACCTCATGAAGCTGGTTGAGAGAATGCCAAGAGTGTGCAAAGCTGTCATCAAGGCAAAGGGTGGCTATTTGAAGAATCTGAAATATAAAATATATTTGGATTTGTTTAACACTTTTTTGGTTACTACATGATTCCATATGTGTTATTTCATAGTTTTGATGTCTTCACTATTATTCTACAATGCAGAAAATAGTAAAAATTAAGAAAAACCCATGAATGAGTAGGTGTTCTTGTAGCGGGTGATTTGGACGGAGTCAGGCGCAGGAGGGTAAATCACAGAATAAATGGTTTATTTGGCAGTACAGCGATACGCAGCAATACGTAAAACACTCCACTGGAGAAACAAGGCACACGGGTGAATATCCCGGCGACACAAAATACAATATAGCTCCACCGAGCTATAGTAACCTCCACAATAAACAATCACACACAAAGACAGGGGGGGCAGAGGGAATACTGATACAGGTACTAATGAGGGGATATGAACCAGGTGTGTGTAATAAACAAGACAAAACAAATGAAATGATGAGATGAGGAGCGGCAGAGGCTAGAAGGCCGGTGACGACGAACGCCAAAGCCTGCCCGAACAAGGAGAGGAGGCAGCTTCGAAGGAAGTCGTGACAGTTCTAAAAGTTTTGACCGGTAGTGTATGGCAACTGGCACAACGCTATATACTATAAACAGCATGCCAAGCAGTATTGGCAACTCCAAATATGCAAGAATAGTAATAGCGGTACAATAGAACATATGGCTGCAAACTTATCAAAGTTACTAAGTAATTTGTGGTAATTATTCATTAATACAGAACATGTAAAAAGAAACCTAATAAACACCCCTGCAACTTACATTTCGATGTACGCACCACATTCGGGTACTCTTGTTACTGTCCACAATAAAAATAGTTATTTATTCGGACAACGATAACACTCTGACCTGAGTGGGTGGGTGCAGTGTCCAGATGCGCCTTTCCAAACACTCTGATTGGTTGGGAATGGCAGGGCTGATGGGTGATGGATAACTAAGGTAGGCTAAACAGCCAAACTAACGGGACTCAACAGACACTGAAGGGACTGTGAGGGAAATGTAGGTAGAGAGGAGGGGATCAGGATGCCCTTTTTTTTACAGTCTCAAAGGTCTCCCTTAGGACTTGCAGCATGACAAGGCTAGATTTGAAACAGAAAACTGTTTCAAAAAACCACTGGACCTAAATTATAGCCCTTCGTCAAAATTGTCGCACTTGCAAAGTTAATTGGCATCTGGCAGTTCTTGTGGTATGCTTTTCATAGTGTTCCAAATGCAGTGGCGTTGCTCTGTGTTTCAGGTTCTAAGTACTGGGTGGTTCGACAGCTTAAGATGAAAAGCCACTTTGGCTCCATATATGACTTTGGATTCCCAGCCAGAGTAAGGAACATTGACGCTGCTATCCATATCAGTGAATATGGAAAAACCTTCTTCAAAGATCACGATTACTACATGTAAACATAGCCTCTAACAAACTGGTTTTTGGTAAATGACAAACCTAAAGTGAATGGTTATTACAGTATAATACAATATTCTGTTGCAGAAAATATACTGTTTCCAAAATCCACTGTTTTGGTAAGAGCAGTATGCTTTGACTAACAGTGTTTTGATGAATAGGCATTCCAGCTCCTGAGAGGCAAAACCTGCCATCTAGTGTTCAACAATGAGACATTTGTTAGAAAGCAACTGCATATAAGCTATACATTATTTATAAGTTCAATGTTTATTTGTTATACGTTATATAGATACGATGAACACAGACATAGGATGGATCCAGGATTTCCAAGAAATATCAAAACAGACTGGCCAGGTATTGGGAGGAGGGTTGATGCTGCATTTGAGTTATGTCGCCATGTCACCTTGCCTTCAATTGCATAAATGTTGATATCATGACACGTTTGTGTTATCTTGATTAGCAGGCCCACTTTAACAAAACATTATCATGTTTTCTTATTAACAGGTACTATCTACCTCTTCAGTGGAACAAAGGCATACAACTATGACTACAGACAGAACTGGGTGCTGAGTCGAATCCTAGCGAATGCATGGCTGGGCTGCTAACATATCTGTCAAAGACACTAGATGTGACCCTACACTCCTTCATGAAAAGGAATACTACCTACAGACATTTTACACTTAAGTCATTTAGCAGACACTGTTATCCAGAGTGACTTACAGAAGCAATTAGGGTTAAATGCCTTGTTGGGCACAGACAGATTTTTTTCACCTTGTTGGGTCAGGGAGTCGAACCTACGACCTTTCGGTAACTGTCCCAATCTGTCACCACCTCCCTCCCTGGCAGCTACCATCTAGCTAACTAACTAGATTGCTAGGCTACCTGCTGCCGTTACAATGTTTGTTTCTTTAGTTATGAAACTTAATAGTATTGATTGATACAGTACTTAATAATTTCTGTTAATTCATATACAATTGTGATTACAGTTAATTTAAAGTAATTAGAATTATTAACTTTATTACTATGATCTACAGTAACTTAAAATGTATATAGATTTAACTCATTATGTTTGTCACCTTCGTTTAAGGACGGGTCAGACCAAGGCGCAGCGTGAAAGGCATACATGTTTATTACACTGATAAACACGCGAACAAAACAACAAACAAACGAAACGTGAAGTCCTAAGGCTAAACACAATACAAGCCTCAAACACGGAACAAGATCCCACAACTAATGATAGCAAACAGGCTGCTTAAGTATGATCCCCAATCAGAGACAACGAGCGACAGCTGCCTCTGATTGGGAATCACACCCGGCCAAACATAGACATACAACACCTAGAACTAAACATAGAAAATACAACATAGAATACCCACACCCTGACTCAACATACAAGAGTCAGGGCGTGACAGTACCCCCACCCAAAGGTGCGGACTCTGACTGCACCAACCTGACATGCCAGGGAAGGGTCCGGGTGGGCATTCCTCCTCGGAGGCGGATCCGGCTCCGGGCGTGACGACCACATACTTTCAGCCTCCCTGTTGCGCCCCTGGTCTGGTCTGGACCTCGGCGCGCTGCTTCCCCTCTCCTTCCTCCCACGATGTACCAAGCCCAGTCTGGACCCTGGTGTGGGAGACCCCGAACCTGGAGAGGGGCTGACGTCTGGGTGTGGACTGGAGCCGCTGACCGGAGCTGGACCGGGCACCGGTGGAGCGGACTACTCCGGCTCCGGACTGGAGCCGCTAACCGGAGCTGGACTGGGCACCAGTGGCGCGGACTGCTCTGGCTCCGGACTGGAGCTGCTGACCGGAGCTGGACTGGACCCCGGTGGAGCGGACTGCTCTGGTTCCAGACTGGATCCGCTGACCGGAGCTGGATCAGGCACCGGTGGAGCGGACTGCTCTGGCTCCGGAGTGGATCCGCTGACCGGAGCTGGATCAGGCACCGGTGGAGCGGACTGCTCTAGCTCCGGAGTGGAGCAGCTGACCGGAGCTGGACTTGACATCGGTGGAGCGGACTGCTCTGGCTCCGGAGTGGAGCAGCTGACCGGAGCTGGATCAGGCACCGGTGGAGCAGACTGCTCTGGCTCCGGAGTGGAGCAGCTGACCGGAGCTGGATCAGGCACCGGTGGAGCGGACTGCTCTGGCTCCGGAGTGGAGCAGCCGTGCCATAATGGACACACGCACCACTGGTCTGGTGCAAGGAGCAGGCACGGGCCGGACCGGACTAGGAACACGCACCACTGGCTTGGTGCGAAGAGGAGGATCGGGCCGGGCCGGACTGGCGACACGCACCACTGGCTTGGTGCGAGGAGCAGGAACAGGCCGGGCCGGACTGGGAACATGCACCACTGGCTTGGTGCGGGGAGCAGGCACGGGCCGGGCCGGACTGGGAACACGCACCACTGGCTTGGTGTGGGGAGCAGGAACGGGCCGGGCCAGACTGGGGACACACACCACTGGCTTGGTGCGGGGAGCAGGTACGGGGCGTACCGGGCTGGCAACACGCACCACTGGCTTGGAGTGGGGAGCAGGGACGGGCCGTACCGGACTGGGAACACGCACCACTGGCTTGGTGCGAGGAACAGGAACGGGCCGGGCCGGACTGTGGAGGCGGACTGGAGGTCTGGAGCGGAGAGCTGGCACAACCCGTCCTGGCTGGATGCCTACTTCCGCACAGTACGTGTATGGCATTAGCACAGGACGCACTGGGCTGTGCACGCGCACTGGCGATACAGTACGTGGAACCGGCGCAGGATATGCGGGACAACATACAAGAGTCCCATGAGTCAGGGCGTGACAATGTTTACGTAAACGTAACACACCCCTTTCAAGTAGTTTTACTTGTGTTTTGCTTACTCCCTAGCCATTAACCTGTAATCAATTATTGTAAGTTACGACAACTAATATGCAAATTAAAAACGATAACTTACTTAAATCAAAAGGTAGTTGTACATCTAATCAAAAACGTTGTGGCAATTGATTGCGTAGGTTTTTTTTAGTAGCACCAAGTCAAACAAAATAATTGGCATGTTAATAGAACTAGAAAAACAAAAAAAACATGTACAAATTAATGCTTTTAAACCAGGAATAATATGGATTTATTGTTGCAGTAACAATAACACATTTCCTGAAGAAAAGACTCCTGATCAGAGTACATTTAAAGAGAATACAGTAAAAGGTTCACATGTTAGAGAACATAGTGCAAGGTTCACAATTAAAGAGCACAGATTGGGGTCAATATGGCAATGTCTCAGTGGAGGTCAGGTTTGAGTCAGTCATTTTCAATTCAGTCAATTTGGTAAGTAAACTGAAATTCTAATATTTTCCTCATTGCCTCCTTTGAGGAAAATATTAGAATTTCTGTTTACTTCCTGAATTGACTGAATTTTAAATGGAATTGACCCGACCCTGACCTCCACTGAGACATTGCCCCATATGTAAGCCCCAAAATCAACTTGTCAGTGCTAGGCCTATTCAAGTGCCGTGTTACAAACAGTGGACAAAATGTTTGAAAAAAGTAACAGTGGTAGACCTATTCAAGTGCCGTGTTAATAACGGTGGACAACATGCTTAGAAAAAGTCATCTCAATGCATTTGAGCAATGAAATAATAAGTTAAGGAAAATGTCAGATCTAAGAAACACCATGACCTACAATTATTAACCTACATACTGCAAAGGTTCACTTTTAAAGAGAACACTTCCACTATGGTTGGGGTCAATTCCTTTTTAATTCAGGAAAGTAAACTAACATTTCAATATCAATTCCAATTTTTGATATGAAATTAGAACTGGAATTTCAGTTTACTTCCTGAATTGAAATGGAATTGACCCCAACCCTGGGGAAGGTGCTACTACAATGATGATTAGGGGGGGTTCCTTTACTAAACAATAACAATTTTTCAACAATGTCAACAACTAATAATGTTGAGGTCAGTTTGGGATTATAAAATAGTTAATTATTTAAAGTAAACTGAAATTCCAATATCAGTTGAGACAGCTCAACAGGCACAATACCTTTTAAAATATCATCAAAAACCTGTGATGGGGTGGAAATACTGTAGTGAAGCAACAGTATCACTTTACAGAACATTTTGTGCATTAAAGGCATAGCTAGCTTTTGTTCTCAGGCTAAACTCTTTGCGGATGTGTAGTGACTTGGCTCAGTATTTGGTTCTGAGATTTTGCTTAGAATATCAATGTTATTAAACAGTTCTTGAATCTAAAGTATTGGAACATACACCGTTGTGTGTCCAGGTTGCTCTAAGTCTAAAACATATTGTACTGGCATTACCATGGGATAGTTTCTCAAAATATCTCAGTTTTAGCTGATAAAACAGCTTATATAAAAATGAAATGCATATTAACGATAAAACCAAATGCTATGGAAACTATAACATTAAATAAATATAAGTGTACAGGTGAAGACACAGGAGTACAGTTGAAGTCGGAAGTTTACATACACTTAGGTTGGAGTCATTAAAACTTGTTTTCCAACCACTCCACAAATTTCTTGTTAACAAACTATAGATTTGGCAAGTTGGTTAGGACATCTACTTTGTGCATGACACAAGTAATTTTTCCAAAAATTGTTTATAGACAGATTATTTCACTTATAATTCAGAGTATCACAATTCCAGTGCGTCAGAAGTTTACATATACTAAGTTGACTGTGCTTTTAAACAGCTTGGCAAATTTCAGATAATGATGTCATGGCTTTAGAAGCTTCTGATAGGCTAATTGACATCATTTGAGTAAATTGGAGGTGTAACTGTGGATGTATTTCAAGGCCTACCTTCAAACTCAGTGCCTCTTTGCTTGACATAATGGGAAAATCAAAAGAAATCAGCCAAGACAACAATCCCAGAACAACAGCAAAGGACCTTGTGAAGATGCTGGAGGAAACAGGTACAAAAGTATCTATATCCACAGTAAAACAAGTCCTATATCGACATAACCTGAAAGGCCGCTCAGCAAGGAAGAAGCCACTTCTCCAAAACCGCCATAAAAAAGCCAGACTACGGTTTGCAACTGCACATGGGGACAAAGATCGTAATTTTTTGAGAAATGTCCTCTGGTCTGATGAAACAAAAATAGAACTGTTTGGCCATAATGACCATCGTTATGTTTGGAGGAAAAAGGGGGTGCCTTGCAAGCCGAAGAACACCATCCCAACCGTGAAGCACGGGGGTGGCAGCATCATGCTGTGGGGGTGCTTTGCTGCAGGAGGGACTGGTGCACTTCACAAAATAGATGGCATCATGAGGAAGGAAATGTATGTGGATATATTGAAGCAACATCTCAAGACATCAGTCAGGAAGTTTTAAAACTTGGTCGCAAATGGGTCTTCCAAATGGACAATGACCCCAAGCATACTTCCAAAGTTGTGGCAAAATGTTTTAAGGACAACAAAGTCAAGGTATTGGAGTGGCCATCACAAAGCCCTGACCTCAATCCTATAGAAAAGTTGTGGGCAGAACTGAAAAAGCGTGTGCGAGCAAGGAGGCCTACAAACCGGACTCAGTTACACCAGCTCTGTCAGGAGGAATGGGCCAAAATTCACCCAACTTACTGTGGGATGCTTGTGGAAGGCTACCCGAGACGTTTGACCCAAGTTAAACAATTTAAAGGCAATGCTACCAAATACTAATTGAGTGTATGTAAACTTCTGACCCACTGGGAATGTGATGAAAGAAAGAAAAGCTTAAATAAATCATTCTCTCTACTATTATTCTGACATTTCACATTCTCAAAATAAAGTGGTGATCCTAGCTGACCTAAGACAGGACATTTTTTACTAGAATTAAATGTCAGGAATTGTGAAGAACTGAGTTTAAATGTATATGGCTAAGGTGTATGTAAACTTCCGACTTCAACTGTACATAAATGTGAATTTTATGACATAGGCTTACTAATCTAAGCTAGTACCAGAGTAAGATTTGAATACTTAGCCTTAAATCACTTGTGATTTAAGTAGGAACCTGGTTTAAGTAGGAACCTGGTACAATGGAACCAACGGAATAGTCCCAAAAGGGCAAACTCTCAGGTGCCTTTTAAATACTTACTAAGCCGAGTCCTGGACTATAAAGCAAGCTCAATGGAGAATCCCCATAGAAATGCATTTTAGTCCAGGACTAGGCTTAATCTGTGTCTGGGAAATCTCCCCTCAAGGTTCATTAAGTAGTTGATATTTTTATTAGACCAAGATCTGATTCCAGTGCAATGAACAGTGCCATAATGATCAGAGTCCTTTGTCTTACCTGTAGATCATGACACCTCAGAATGTCAACCAAAACGCTTTGGTTGACATTCTGAGGTGTCATGATCTACAGGTAAGACAAAGGACTCTGATCATTATGGCACTGTTCATTGCACTGGAATCAGATCTTGGTCTAATGCAAATCAGCAGTCCTTCCAGTCTTCGATGCCCTCTGTGTATACAAGGTCATCAACCGAGGGGTGTGACGGTCAATCTCAGCATAGAAGATGTTTAGCAGGTTCTGTTTTGTAATTCTCTGGAACTCTGCATACACCTACATTTGGAATAGACAGACAACAAAGGACAGTATTTAGAAGTTATCACAAGTTTGGAACACAGTATCACAATTTAATTCAGTATAACTACTATAATAAAGCAGGATACATTTCTGTAAAAACAGCATTGCAATTTTACCTATGACTCCATGCGCAGAGCAGGCCAGAGATCAAGGAAGTCCTTTACTGGTGGAGTGTCGGTGACTATACCCTGGCGCCGCAGGGCGAATGTGGTCTGCATCTTCCTATCGATCAGGGGTAAGTTCCTTTCAGTCTTCTGAACTTCTTGGACCCTTTCCTGCCTCAGCGTTTCAAGACTCAGAGTCCTCTCCAAGGGGGAAGTTTGGCAGAAAGTTAACATCAGCCCGCTTAGGTCTCTTTATGTTTGAGTGCAGTGGTTCATTTTCTGGATTGCTTCTTATTGTTATTCCTGCGTTTACGGAGACCTCCTGACATCCTGCTCTCCTCAACTTGGTTCTGTAGTTACCCATCTTGAATGTTATGCTGTTCCTCCATCCATTACACCCAGTGTCAGATCCTGCCTCTTTCAGACAGGGGTGTTTCATAACAAGTGCTTCAGCTGCCTTTCCTATCTCTCGGTCATTTGGGTAAGCTTTGAAACTGTACACAGTAGTAGCAACTTTCTCTCAAATGTAATATTTTTGGTCTCTAGACAACTGAATATATTTTCCATTCCTTTCAAAGGCAGCATTTCCTTCTCTAAGCTTCAACTCTACCTCTAATGCAAAAGTAGGCACGGGAAAAACATCTAGCGGCCACCTACTGAGGCGCTCTGCGGAAGACACATCTGAAAGTATTTCTGTGTCAGCTGTAGAACTTGTATCTCCTCCTTCCACTAAAAGGTGTAGTGTTATCTTTTGTGGCAACTCCTCAATGTCCATCAAGCAGGTAAGTTGTCCATCAAAGTCTGTGTCTTCATACTGCAAGTGGAAGTCGTCGTCAAACTCAGCCTTCAAAATGTTTATCAAGTCATCAACAGATGCTGGACGGGAGCTGAGGTTTATCTTCCTTGTATGGTCAGCATCAACAAAGCGAAGTATCATGGCTTGAGGAGCTGCAGCTGCCATTGCTGAGGAAGAATACAACATTGAGAGATTGCACCTGGAATATCAAAACAATACAAATGGTAACACTAGGTACATAATGGCTTCATTAAACAAATAATGACTCACCATAACATGTTCAACTCTGTCTCACTCTAATTAACCTCTTGGGGATCAATAGCAGCTGGCCATCAATGTTATGTGCAGAAAAGGTGACAGTGTCGTTGAGCTCAGATTGCAATTGGACAGGCTAACTTGTGTAGATAGCTCGTAGGAAATAAAATATGTTCTACATACCATGACTCAAAGTGACTGCAGAGAAAATAAATATATATCTGAGCAATTTTGCAGAACTGAGGCATCCCCCTACTGACTCCAACTGACAAAAACATTTTATGTTGTCCATCTCAGGTAATTTCAACATAAGCTTACCTTTAACTACTGGCCTACTGTCTAGAGCACCAACATCCTTCAGTCAGGCCTGTAGAGAAAGTATCAATAAAGAATTAGTATTACAATTTGTAGTGGTAACATTCTTAGGGTTGGAAACTAGTCTTTACGTCAAAGTATGTAGGCCTACTACTGTTCATTCAGAGAATTACAGAAAATGATATTCATAACTTTAGATTTATGTTTCACACCCAAGCCAAACATCAACGTCAGAAAATAAACATATGTTATTTGAATAGTACATAACTAATTCAGAATTCGTTTTAACTTTCAAAAATCTAAGTACTGCACTGTAATTAGGCAGCATGCCATTGAATCAAACTTAAGCTGCGCCATTTTGTGCACCTGTCACGTTGCACTCAGCAATTGCAGACATGCGCCAAATGAGGTAGCTAGCTAGCTACCTCAGCTAGCAAGCTAGACAAGTAGCGTAGCTAGCAAGCCAACATAGCTCCACATAACCAGGAAACATGGCGTAGCTAATAAGGACATTTTACAAAATATGCTTCAGAAAAAAAATCGCGACACCAAAATCCTTATGTTTAAGCAACTAGCTAGTTAACATTATCCAGCAACGCTTTTTTACAGCGTGTTGGTGAGTTAACTAGCTAGCTAACGTGTTTTACAATTAGGATAGGGATAGAGATCTTGACAATGGATATATTCTCCAAAGAAACACTACCACAAAAATTATGTTCAAACATGAAAATGTATAGCTACCGTTAGCTATCGAAGCAAAGTAATGAACTTACCGCATGAACCCTCATGCCTTGGATAGATTAGTACACTGTAAATTGCTGCATGCCGCACCGGCCGCCCAGAGTGGCTCGCTTTTGGGTGTGCTGGCAGCATATAGCAACACGTTTGAATGTGCGTCAATAATTCAGCATAGCAAATTTGTCTGAAGGTCTGGTTATTAAATGGGTAAATAGTTTAATCCATTCTCCATTTCATGAATTTATTTACAGGTAAAGAGTAATATGCTCTAAACTGCTCTGGTGACAAACAAACTTTGCTGCCCTGTTTCCAATCATCTACATGGCTGGGAGAACCTATTTAAGTAAGTAAATACATTTCTAAAATGTAAAAAACAACAATGTATTATTAGCTAACTAGCTACAATGCATGCTAACTCAAATGAGCTGCTAATGTAGCTATCTAGCCAACTTTACATACCGTATAGCTAGCTAGCTAAGTTAATTCAATTTCACCAGCTACCTAACTTCATATAAGCTAGCTATCTTGCATTTGTAGGTAGCTAGCTAACAGCCATGGAGGAGGGTGAAAGGATAGCAGCCCCAACTGTCAAAGTGAGAGAGTAGGCTATTCTGGATAGGGCAGGTACTTTTGTGTAGTTCCAGTACCTAGAAGTGAGGACAGAGATAATAGTAACATAATATTCAGTGCTGTCTAACGAAGTCCGTTTCTTGTGATGTTTTCTGCTCTCAGATACAAAGACCTGTGAAAGCCTGTCTGCAGATGAAGAGGTCCCAAGGAAGAGCAGTGGTTCTCGGTCCTGGTCCTGGGGACTCAAAGGGGTGCACATTTTTGTTTTTGCCATCGCACTACACAGCTGATTCAAATGATCAACTCATCATCAAGCTTCAAGTGGTATTTATGTATTCATTTGTGATGCTAACCTTGATATGAACCTTCTGTTGTCACATGCTACACATGCATGTGTGCACATGCATCTACAGTGCATTCGGAAAGTATTCAGACCCCTCGACTTTTCCACAATTTGTTAGGTTACAGGCCTTATTCTAAAATTGATTATTTTCCCTCATCAATCTACACACAATACCCCACAATGACAAAGCAAAAACAGTTATTTCTTTATTTTTCGATAATTTATTTAAAAAATAATAATAATAATAATATCACAATTACGAAAGTATTCAGACCCTTTACTCAGTACTTTGTTGAAGCACCTTTGGCAGCAATTACAGCCTTGCGTCTTCTTGGGTATGATGCTACAAGCTGGCACACCTGTATTTGAGGAGTTTCTCCCATTATTCTCCGCAGATCCTCTCAAGCTCTGTCAGGTTGGATAGGGAGCATTGCTGCACAGCTATTTTCAGGTCTCACCAGAGATGTTCGATCGGGTTCAAGTCCAGGCTCTGGCTGGGCCACTCAAGGATATTCAGAGACTTATCCCGAAGCCACTCTTGCGTTGTCTTGGCTGTGTGCTTAGGGTCATTGTCCTGTTGGAAGGTGAACCGTCGCCCCAGTCTGAGGTCCTGAACACTCTGGAGCAGGTTTTCATCAAGGATCTCTCTGTACTTTGCTCCATTCATCTTTGCTTCGATCCTGACTAGTCTCCCAGTCCCTGGCGCTGAAAAACACCCCCACAGCATGATGCTGCCACCACCATGCTTCACCGTAGGGATGGTGCCAGGTTTCCTCCAGACGTTACGCTTGACATTCAGACCAAAGAGTTGAATATTGGTTTCATCAGACCAGAGAATCTTGTTTCTCATGGTCTGAGAGTTTCTAGGTGCCTTTTGGCAAACTCCAAGCAGGAGTCAACTGTGGGACCTTATATAGACAGGTGTGTGCCTTTCCAACTCATGTCCAATCAATTCAATTTAAAACAGATGGACTCCAATCAAGTTGAAGAAACATCTCAAGGATGATCAATGGAAACAGGATGCACCTGAGCTCAATTTCGAGTCTCATAGCAAAGGGTCTGAATACTTATGTAAATAAGGTATTACTGTTTTTAAAAATTTTTAAAAATTTGCAAACATTTCTAAAAACCTGTTTTCACTTGGTCATTATGGGGAATTATGTGTAGATTGCTGAGTATAAAAAAATTATAATAATCCATTTTAGAATAAGGCTGCAATGTAACAAAATGTGGAAAAGGTCAAGTGGTCTGAATACTTTCCGAAGGCACTGTATCTATCCAATGTTATCATAATTTGTTATAAGAGTTATTATACTTCAGTAATCCACAATGACCGATGATGTAAAAGTCTAATAATGACATTATCTTCCATATTCCTACAGATACCTTGCAACTGGAGATTCCTTCAAAATGATTGCCTACAGTTACCGTGTAGTGCACTGCAAGGTTGGGTGACCAGGGCCATCTGGGACTGCCTCCTAGCAGAATTCAGGCGTGTCAAGGCTATCTGTGTCCTGCATAACTTCACGAGGATGTACATGAGGACCAGGAGGGGATCTGCAGAGGAGAGGTCTGCTGCTCTGCAGGATGTTTCAAGGATGGGGGCCAACAACGCAGCACGGGAGGCAATCCATGTGCGGGAGATCTTCACCTCCTACTTATTCGAAGAGGGTGCTGTTCCCTGGCAACACCATAGATTACACTATACACAACCAAAGGCTCTTATAAGAGCCATCCACATTGCAATAAAAGTATTCTTCCATTTACTTAGCTATGTCAACTGCAGTTATTCATTTCCGAGTTTCTCTCCCTTTGATTTCTACTTCTCAGGTGATGGTGCTGTTTAGCTATGGGTGATGTCTGTACAAAAACAAAACAGGCTCTTCTTTAAGAGTCACCGATAGTGACATTTTTTGGAACAATTAGACACCCTATAACCAACACCTACACACTCGTGTATCAATATGATTGATGGATTGTGTTGTGCAGTAAGGACTGTGTATTACTGTGGCTCCTTCCACCTTCAAAGAATAGGCAAGAGGACCAACCATGGAGAATAGTAAGACACTATAACTACGCTATATTGTTTGTCAGTGCATGTTTTTCAGTATAAAGTACTCTGCAGCCACTTAGTGTGGACACCAAGTGAGGCCAAACACACAGATTCCTGTTGAACACTGTCTCTTTAACTACCTAATTTTCTCAATAACAGTCTCTCTCCTTCACTTTATCCCCCCCCCCCCCCTTCTCCCTAAATCCTCTAGGTTAAATCAGCTGTGTCGGTGAACCCCTCCCACATCGGAACAGGCTACCTAGAGAGCACAGCATAATCAGAGGTGAGAGGTCACTTGGTCGGGTCAATGGGAAGTATTATTAAAGAGATGCTTACATTGAAATACAGATAGATGTAGTAGTCCCAGAGTTAATGATCCAAGGTCAGTTTTGCATTTCACCTCCTGATGATTAAGATAACTGACAGTGTTAGAATTAAAAAAACACAAGGCTTAATCATGCTCTCTCGCTCTCCATCTGTCTCTCGTCTGCAGGTCTGTTTTGATGTGAGAGAGGATGCCAACCCCCAGTCCCGTCATCGCCACCTCACCCGCTCTTAAGATAACCTTCGGGCCAACTGGGGGCCCAAGGCTGGTTAGGAGACACAGCTAGAGACACTATTATATAATTGTGATGAACTGAGATAATGTTTTAGTTTAGTAGCACTGTAATTCATTAATCATATACAGTCTTCCCTGCTCCTCTGTTCCTTCCTCTTTCCCTTTCTGTCTTTTACACTCTATCACACCTCTCGCCCCACCTACTCTTTCTTCCTCTGTTTATATAATGGACACCAGATGTGCATTGAAGTACAGATTGAACTTTTATTTATAATATTACAATTATAATATGTATAATGCATATATTATGTGTTTATAACACTTGGATAATG